GGCTTGCGATGTCAAGTGCACGGAATTACAGACAATGCCCGGAATTTATTTGAGATAAATATTTGGGATGAAATTGATTAAAAAGTTATTATTATTATTATTTTTATACTCATGCTTTCATCAAAGTTGGTTGGTTGTGGCATCTGATATATTATTGGTTATTTTTGTTAGTGTATTTTCTACTCCCCCCCCCAAAAAAAAAAAAAAAGAGATAGTAATGGAAACATTTAGCATGCCTGGAAGATTTACTAATGTTGCTTGGCTTGGAGAATTTATATTAATTTAGTTATTTTGATATTGATATGGATTTGGGATTATTATTTTTAGTTTGGACTTGTAATAAGTTACCGTCTTATCTACCTTATATAGTTTGCATTTGTGATGTGATTAATTTTATTATTTCAATTGGTACTTGTTAGACCAATTAATTGCGATTAATTTTAGGTAATTTGATAATTACTCTTATTTTATTTGCGTTGTTAGGTGCTTAAATTTATTATTTCAAATTTAGTGGGTTGAGCTAATTATTGGGAGTGAGGTTTGGCTTCAATATGAACTGTCTTAGTTGAATTAGAAGTTCTAGTTAAGAGTTTCTCGTGGCTTATATGATTCCAGTGGGTACTGGCATGGCGATTTACTCCCATGCCATGGGATGTAAATAGGTGTCCTCGGCGTCTATGCCTCGGGAACACCTGAATTGTTAATTTTCACTCTTTATATATATATATATATATATATATGTTGGTGTATAGGTGAAGGGTCGGTGTACCATGCTGCTGGTAGTCTTCACATGGTTTAATTAGGCCACGAGAAAGTTTCTGTAGTTAAAATTTTAAAGGATACCATACAGGAGGAGACAAAGTGAAACTTTTCCACCTATATACACTTGATTATGAGAAACCATGTATCACCATGTATACATACATGCAGTCTCTTTTTGGTTTAATGGAGAAGTTGTGGCTTGGGTGTTGTACTAGGTTCTGAAGACTTTAACAGGGGGTGTCATTATCTGCACGTATTTTCATTCTGGGTTAGATTGAAGAATTGGTTGTATTGAAATGAGTTAAGATATATTTATAAAAAAATAAAAGCAAACAAACAAACTAAATTGGTCTCATTTAAAAATGTTAAGTTGCTATTAATTTTATTATTTATTTAATTTCTATTTCTTTTATTCACGGACCGGGTTTTGGAGACAGGGGCGTGACAATGTGGTATCAAAGCATTAGGTACGAAAACCTTAGGACGATGGATGAATGTTCAATCTACATGATGACTTGAAATTATGTGTTTGACTTGTTATTTTTACTTTATTTTTATTTTTATTTTTTTGTTTTGTTTTGTGAAATGTAGTACTTGTTAGGTGAAATATGAGTAACGAGCTAAGTGCTAAGTGTTAGCTTGATATTATTCTATTATGATTAACCCTTCCTTGTAACCTTATAGAACAATGGCATCACGTAAAAAGACAAGTGCACAGAGAAAGGGAAAGGTAAAGTAAGTGGCCACAGAACAGACACCATCGGTGCCCACAACTTCGACGCCACAGGTTCAAGTGCAGCAGGTTTAGGCACAACAGGTACCCATGGATGGGGCTCAGTTTGCTAGACAAATGGCTGAGGCCATGCAACAATTGATGATGACCTCACATAGTGGGGCTCAACCCCAAGCTAGTGGATCTGGGTCTAGAGCCATCACTGTTGTGAGGGAGTTTCAATGGATGGATCCGCCTGAATTTCGTGGTGAGCCTAATCCAATAGCTATAGAGGATTAGATGGAGCAAGTGACGAAGATCTTAGATACTATCAGGGTACATGAGAATGAGTTGAGGGTGTCTTTTGCTTCTTTCCAATTCACTGGTGATGCTGCTCAGTGGTGGAAGACAATCAAGAACACCCATAATGTTGAGGCTATGGAGTGGGCTACCTTCACTAAGCTTTTCCTTGACAAATATTTTCCATAAGTTAGGAGGTACGCAAAATGGGACGAGTTCATGAATCTGATACATATTTTATGACAGTGAACCAGTATGAGGTGAGTTTAACGATTTGCACCAAAAGTGATTGTTACGGAAGAGTATAAGTGCAAACGATTTGAAAAGGGACTCAGGCGTGGCATCAGGGATAGGATTATACCACATGAGCTGCGTAATTATTCGACACTAGTTCAGAGAGCTATGCTAGTTGACGAGAGCTTGCGGGACACCAAAAGGATTTTCGAGTCCAGATCTCAGTCTGGGTCCAACTCACAGTTTTGGGAATCGCCCTATGAAGAGGCAGATAGAGGATAATGCACATTCTCAGGGGCAGTGTCAGACACAGTCAACACCACAGGTGTCTTTTCCAGGGAGATCTTCTCGGGGACAAATAGTGTGCCACCAGTGTCATCGGCCGGGTCATTATCGGTCAGAGTGCCCACAGCTTCACCCTACATCAGTTGGAGGTCAAAGGACTTGCTTTCGGTGTGGCTAGTAAGGTCATGTGGTGAGGGATTGCCCTCAAAGGCAGAATACTCGTAGTGTGACAGGACCGCAGCCACATCCTTGTTGTCAGGGGCTTATTTGTTATTACTTATATAATGTTGGGGCTTATGTGTAATTTCTGCAACTTGTTATTATAAATAGAATGTGGAGGAAGGATGAAAGTATACTTTCATTCTTTCTCTCTTCCCCATCTCTCTCTCTTTTTCTCTCATCCGCTTTCCTCTCTTTTTCTTCTTCTTCTTTATCACTTACTTTCGATTTGATTATATCTTAAAGTCAACATAGTATCAGAGCAAGTTTATCATACCATACTCTATACTCTACTCATTTCCGATCTACGGATCAACTTGTCTCGGATCTTCAGATCAACTCGTCTCGGATCTTTGCAACTCGTTTCAAACTCTCAACAACTTCGTACTTCGTTTCAAGTTGGACACTTGAGTTAAAATCTTCGTGTACCAACTTGAGGAAGGGTGTCGGAGAATATTATTATAAGAACCTTAAATTACTCCATAGAATATTATTCTGAGATTGTGGGAGTGATTTTAGTCTATGATAAAATATGATTGGAGTGATTTATAGGATTGATTTTATGAATCCTCCATTAATGTATTTTCCATATTTATCGCTTTATTCTTTCACCTATAAATAGAGGTGCTCATTGTAAACAATTTTAAGGGAGAACATAATAAAGACGATGTAGCCCTTTGGGCTTTGTGTGTATATCCTTGTGCTTCATTTTCTATTTCTCTCTTCAATTTTGACATGGTATCAGAGCTCTAGGTTTGTAGTTGAAACTTTAGGGCAAGTTTGTGTAAACCCTAGTGGGTGTGAAGGGTTTTGAAGAAATTCCAAGAAGGGATTTGTTTGCAAGGAAGTAGTGTTAATCACCATCCAGGCCTTTGTATTACGACTGTTAGGCTGGATAAGACGAACTATATGGAGTGGGCTCAATCTGCTCGTATGCATATCACTGGTCGTAGGATGATCGACCATATCGAAGGGCTGTGACGTATAAACAGTGATCCTGAATTCAAAGAGTGGAGTACAAATAATGCACTAGTTATGACGTGGTTGTTGCAGTCCATGCAGCCACATATCAGCAAAGGGTTTCTATTTGTGAAAACAGCTAAAGAGCTATGGACGGCTGTGGAAGAGACGTATTCCTCCATTGGTAATTTTGCAAAACTGTATGAACTCCAAAACACATCAAAATGTATATATTGAAGATTTAATGGAGGAATCAATGAAGGAAAATCTTTCGGTAATTGATGTTGTTTCCTATTATTGAAGACTTGGTGTTACTAAAGGAATTAGTGGAGAAAAATCCTCATTGTTTCCTATTTTCTAATTCTTTCCATTCTCATAATTTCTTCTCCTATATAAAGGAGTCTCCACCATTGTATTGTGTATGAATTGAGAGAGTATTATAAAAGTGATGTCGCCCTTTGGCCTCTTTGTGCCCTGGATCTATGCCCTAGTAGCTCCACCACAAAATATCTGTGTTTTTCTCATTTAATTTCTCTTCACATATGTTTTATAATTTACAACATGGTATCAGAGCCTAATTTCTCTTCCTAGGTTCGGACCCCTATCTTAGGGTATTCCCTTAGCATCTGAAATGTTGCAAAGGGGTTTTTGTGACTTGTTTGGGCTGTCGGTTTGTTCAGCAGTAATGTTATTCGCCTTTGCCGTGTCTCCGACAGCTTTTTTTGACTTGTTTGGCTTGCCGGTGTGTTCGGTAGCATTGTCTTCAACTTTGCTTTCTCCAGCAGTTTTTATCAACTTGTTTGGGCTTCTAGTGTGTTCGGTAGCATTTTTCTCGCCTTTGTCGTGTCTCCGGCAGTTTTTTGTTGACTTGTTTGGGCTGTCGGTGTGTTCGGTAGCATTGTTCTTCGTCTTCTCTCTTCTCTCTTCATCATTCACACTTGTTGTTACTCGTCATCTCAATGGCAAGTTGGGCATTCATGCTCCAACTTAATGGAGAGTATTAAAGATTTAATGGAGGAATCAGTGGAGGAAAATCTTTCAATTATTGATGTTTCCTATTATTGAATACGTGGTTAAGAAGAATCATCATTGCCATTCTTGCCTTGATTCCTAACAAAGTCTTCCACTATTTTCTATTACAACCTATACCTTCTATTATATTTGATTTCTTAATATATTTACATTTTACTTCATGTCATGTTGGTTTTGGTTTCACTCTTCGTCACATCTTTTATTTTAAATTTCTGATGGCTTCTACATTAAATATATGCCACTAATCAAACAAATACAGAAAATCGACCAAGCCTCAAGTGCAAGACTGCTCATGTATACCCAAGGCCACTCTTAACATCTAGCTACCACAGCCTCCAAAGGCTTAAACAGGTTATAAGTGTTTCAGCAACATGAGGCAGCCCTAGGCATCAAAGCAGGTAAGGATGGCATGGTAAGACACAGAATATTAGAATATAATATGTATTTTTTTTTATACGTAATTAGAATATAATATGTATTGAACCAACAAATATACCTTGATGCCATATTGAGGATGGCCACATTCACAATGCTCCTCGAGCTTCCATGCATCACATCTAAGATCTCAAAGAAATGTTTCTACAAAATAAATATATATTATTTATCAGCCATCAGTGGTCTGGTTTATATTTTATTATGGTCCCAAACTACAAAACTATGACACTTGAAGGCGGAAATTAATAAGAGGAAAAGCAAAAGCAGAACTATTTTTCTCAATCTCTGGGGTAATATATAATCTCACTACGCTAACAGCAGAAGAGATGACAAAAAGAAGTTAAAGTCGTGCATACCAGTGCAAATATGTCTTTTAAGTTGTTGAAGTGAGTAAGAAGCTTTATAAAAAATGATTGCAAGTTTAGTAGTACATTTTCAGCAATTTCTTCGTTGTTCGCTCGCTTCAAAATACCATCCAATACTATGTCCAGATAATTATCCTGGCATAAATTAATCAAATTAGGAAAAAAGTAAGCAAACTGGGTAAAAACAAATTGGTTTGCCAGACAACAAAATATTACATTAACAAAATTGCATGGAAACTTCATCACATAAAAATGAAACTAATATCAAATATTTGCTCACAATACAAACCTTGTAAAGGGAAGACCAATAATGCATTTTGCTCAGTAAAAAGCCATCCTATCTCAACTTGACAAGTCACAATTTCACTTCTGTGCTGGTGAAAGAATCCTTTGTGGCCAGCTGCCAGCAACCAAATAAATGCCTACATTTTTGTTTAACCATTGCCCAGCATGCCTTTTTTCACAACCTTATCCACATCTCTCATGAGCATTAACCTCACAATTATAATGACTTCAACATAAGCCTATCATTCCTGAAAGATGCAGTCATGCAAGTTTGCAACCTACCTCAGCTTTCATAGAAATGACTTGGCATCTTAAGCAACATTCTCCTCCATCAGTGCTACATCTACTAAATCCTTTTTCCACCTACATGATTTTATTTTTCCATTCTACTCTATATAGAATCAAATCCTAAGTCAAACCACGTGATATCATATCTTTCCTCGCTAACTCAACCCATGCTAATTCGGTTCCTCCCCCTCCCCTAGCATTACCTTCTAAATGGACTAACTGAATATTCCACATATGTTTATCGGTTTTGTTGCACATGAACAAACCATCTTTGTCAATTTTCTCTCATTTGATCTCCAATCGGTGTTACTTTAACCGCTTCACGAATGTTTTCATTTCAAATTTTAATTTTTGTTGTCTTACCACACATCCATCTCAAATTTCATTGTGTTATGCTTCGCTCTGCGAGGGGATTGATTGTCGCTTGGAAAGGCTGTTTTGTGGGAGCCCAAGCTCGTGAATTTTTGTGGGCGGTTCCCTTTTGTGTTTGGTGGTGCATTTGGAAGGAGCGAAATAGAAGATCTTTCAACGGGGAGGAATCTTCCATTGGGAATTTGAAATTTGTTATCATTAATTCTCTTTTTAGTTGGGTTATGGGGAGAACTTGTAAATCTATAGAGGAGACTTTTGATCTTTTGGGTTCCTTGGGTCCGTAGGACTAGTTCTTTGGCTTCGGCCTTGTACAGTGACTGGATGCGTTCCCCTTTTGAACGTTTTCTAATATAATCTTATTTATCATAAATAAATAAATAAATAAAAATAAAAAATTATCAATATGTTGTCTTAAGCGCCCAAAATCCTGTCCCATAAAGTATGACCAGTTAAATAGTTGTTTTACAGATTTTACCTTTCAATAATAGAGGTACACATCAATAACATAATATACCAAAAGTACTCCTCCATTTAACCCATTCTGCTTCAATTTCATAATTAGCATCATCTCTAATTTCTTCGTCCTTGTGAATAAAATAGCATAGATAGAGAAAATATATGCTTATTAAAATAGGGACAAGTGCAAAAAATATCCCTAAAGTATACTCTGCATAGCACTTTTACCCCCTATTTGAAAAAGTGGCAAAAACACTCCTAATCTGTTAACATTGTGCAAAAATACCCCCTTTGACATAAATTAGTATTGTAATACCCGTTTTGCCCTTTTACTCTTCCGAAAATGCCCAAGGGCTTATATATGCTACTAATCTCATAGTATAAGGGTGTTATGTGCACATTACCTTATATATATATATATTTAAAAAACTTTTTTCTCTAAACGGTTTTTTTAAAACTTTGAGAATTTGTAGAGTAAAGATTTGAATTTTTTGAGACTTTAGTTTACTCATTTCTACTAAAATTTATTTTTCTTTATTTTATTTTATTTTTCATACCAACACTGTTAAAGAAAAATAAATAAATAAAATAAAATAAAAAAATAAAAAATTTGTTTCTTTAGGGTGCGTTTAGTAACGTTTTTGTTTTATGTTTTTGCAGTTTTAAGAAAAAAGAAACATGATTTTGCTTTCTTGAGTGAAAATAGAAAACAAAAATGATGTTTATTAACACTCGTTGTTGTCACAAATTTGAAAACATAAAACAATAACTGTGTTTAGTAATACAACATATTTGTTAACATTCTTTAATTTTTTTATTTTATTCATGGCAAGAATTTTAGGAGTTGGTGATTAGAGGGGAGGGTAGATGACTTGAACACGAACTCTCGGACACAGGGACCAACCCAATCACTCAGACACGACACTTGCTTCCATTAATATCAAAAAGCCATAAATCTAGAAAATCTAATTTAAAATTATAAATCTTAAAAATACCCAATACATCATAAGTACAAAATTAGATATACCAAGACAAAAGCATTCCCACCAATTATATATATAAATACGTGTATATGCATGAAGTATTCATTTATTATGTGATATATAATATATTTAGCATATGATAATTTATTATGAATAAAAAATATTAAATAATATATCTTATATGTAATAAAATATATATTCTGTTATAATATTGTAAATTAATTATAATTTAATATTTACATATAATATAATATAGATATAATATAAAATATCTACTGCTTAATTATTTAATAACATTATATTCTATATCAAAAATTATTTTGTCACAAAAAATAATTTACATTATTATTTAATATATTATATATTAAAATATATTTTTATAAAATAAAAAATAATATACAATATTTAATATATTCTACATTAAAAATATATATTTTTATTAACATTTAATATGCAACTTAGTATATAACACAAATAATATGAATTTTATTTCAAATGAATAGTGTCTATGCAGTAACATTAGTGAAAACGTTTCTATGCTACAGTGCCGAAAACATAAGAAACATCATTTTGATGTTTCCTCTTTTCTTCACAAAAATTGAAAACATTTTCTGTTATAGAAAAACAAAAACATTTTATTGAACGCGGTTTTTGTTTTCTTTTTGCTTTTTTAGAGGTTGATAACAGAAAACAAGAAACGTTTCTCGTTACTAAACGTAGCCTTAGTTTGCATTTTGTTTTCGTTTTTTTTCTTTCTATTTTTATCTTTACTTTTATTTTTATTTTATATTTTTATCTTTCCTTGTCCATTGCCAGCGTCCTTCAATTGTGTTATTTTCAGTCATTTTATAAAATAATTTATCTTTATATATTTTTATAAAATGGTTCAGTAAGGATATTTTAGTCAGCTATGGATTTAAATTTGTCAGAGGGACCTATTTGCACCAGATTAAAACTTTAGGGGTGTTTTTTGCACGTGAGGGGCATCCTCTAATAGTGTCATTTTCAGTAATTTTACAAAATTATTTATTTTTATATATTTTATAAAATGGTTCAGTAAGGGTAATTTAGTCAACTTATGGTTTAAATTTGTCAGAGGGACCTATTTGCACCAAATTGAAACTTTAGGGCTGTTTTTTGCATGTGAGGGGTGTGATATGCACTGTAAACAAACTTTAGGAGTGTTTTCTGCACTTGACCTATTAAAATATCTTGACCCTCACTCTATAGTTACTTTTACTAAAGTTACATTTCGTATATGTTGAGTAATAGTGTAATTAATGATAGAGTTGGGGTTATACTATAAATAAGCCACACTTGTAAGTGTGTATATATATCTGCTTTTAGGGTTTTTTGTAATCTAAAGAGAACACTACCAAACATCTCGTTTCTCTCTCTCTCTCTCTATCTATCTTTTATCTCCCAACATGGTATCAGAGCAATGATCCCAACCCTAAATTATGAAACGATCCCAACTATAAATTGTTCGTCACCGTTCTCGTGAAGAGGGTTTCATCATTGTGCCTGTGTGTTGGCCTCATCATCACCAAGAGAGCGAGTTACCTTCACATCATCACTTTCTGATTTACACCACCAGTGTTGGTTGTGTTCGTCGTCAACCAGTGTTCATCATCAAGTTGCAGTGGTTCAGATTTCTTTTTGATATGCAGAGTTCTTCATTGATTTGTAGAGATCCGACCCAAGTGAAGGAGGATCGGGTTAACTCAACCCCTGCAGATTCAACCCGATTGTGGTGTGGTTCTGACCTGATTAGTTTCTCATATCAGTTCAGATCACGTTTTTTTCCAGCCTGTGAAATCTGTTAAGAGGCTAGTTCTACTTATTTTATTGGCTGGGCAGCGTTCAGTTTGGTCTTGGCTGCTCTAGTTTCTTCTCTTCTCAACTTCAGTTTTGTATTTCTTCCCAACTCCTGGATCCATGGCAGAACCTAGTGAAATCAAGACAACTGCTGCTGCAATTACTGATCATGTTGGGCAGCAAATTACTACCGTTAAACTGAGTAATACCAATTATTTGTTATGGGCTCAGGTTGTGAAGATATCTTCAGGGGCTCGAAGGAAACTCAAATACATTAAAAATGATTCTCCATCTAAAACTGATAAAGGATATGATGATTGGGAAACTAAAAATTACATGGTTATGAAATGGTTGTGGAACAGTATGGAACCCTCAATTGCGGCTAATTTTATGTTTGTTAACACTGCCAAGGAGATTTGGGATGCTGTTCAAGAAACCTTTTCGATGGACAAGAATGTTTCTCGAATATATTCTTTGTATGAGAAGATGCTTCTTTTCCGTCAGTCCGGTAAAAGTATAGGTGAATATTACAGTGCTTTCAAAGATTGTTGGACGAACTAAATCAATACCACCCATTGACTATTGACCTTGATGTTTTAAAACGACAACGTGAAGAATTTTATGTATCCATTTTTCTTGCTGGCTTGGACACCGACCTTCAAGCTGTTCGTAATCAGATTCTTGCTAGTGATGGAGGACTCCCATCTTTGGGTAATGTTTATGCACGTTTACTTCGAGTTGCTGAATCATCATGTGGGAAGAGAAAATTCAGCACTATTAACCTCTTCAGGTAGTCAAAATTCTGCAAAGGGTCATTGAAATTCTAGTGGTAATCGTGGCTATGGAGGAAATATTGGGGCTTCACGAGGACATGGCGGTCATGATAGAGGCCGAGGTAGACGTGGTTGTGGACATGGAGAAGCACGCCATTGTGGGTATTGTCATGGTGCCAATCATACTATTGATTCTTGTTGGGATCTTTATGGAAAGCCAGTGTGGGCAAATCAAGCTGTGATTTCTTCGGACAGTGCTTCACATACTTCTGTTGGAAAAGAGCCTTTAGTTTCGAGCGATTCTCTCTCTCAACCAAGTTCATCTACTCGTGATACTGTCACACTTTCACGTGAGGAGTTAAGTGCCTTGGTCAGAAAGGCACAAAATAAATCCACTGATGATGTTGTCACATTCGCGCATTCAGGTACTAATGCATGTTTTTCAGACTTACAGTCTTCCTCCTACCCATTGGTTATCAACTCAGGGGCTTCTGCCCATCTGACCGGTAATGATTCTTTGTTTTCTACTTTGCACCGCTCTAATTGCACATCTTCCGTTACTCTTGCTGATGGTAGTACTCGTTCTATTGTTGGCCAGGGTACAACTAGCCCAACTTCTTCCCTCTAATTATCCTCTGTGCAACTTGTTCCTAAATTTCCTTTTAATTTATTATCTGTGAGTAAACTGACTAAAGCACGCAACTTTTCTTTCACTTTTTATCCTTCTTACTGTATATTTCCGGACCTCAAAATGAAGAAGACGGTTGGTGGCGATCCTGAACGAAATGGTCTCTATTACTTGGATTGTGGTTCTTCTTCTCGTGGTGTGGCTCTCTATTCAACGGTCTCTGCCGAGCAGTGGCATTATCATCTTGGTCATCCTTCATTGAAGTACTTGAAGTCTGCATTACCATTTCTTGGGTCGGTGTCTACTTTAGATTGTGAGTCATGTCAATTAGGCAAGCATCATAGAGTTTCATTTCCTTCTCGAGTCAATAATCATCGGTCTTCTCCTTTTGAGTTAGTGCATACTGACATTTGGGGCCCTGCCCGTCATAAAAGTGTATTAGGTTTTTCATATTTTGTTACTTTTGTTGATGACTATTCAAGGATGACTTGGCTATTTCTAATGAAAGATCGTTCTGAACTTCTTCCTGTTCTTCAACTATTTTATAAAGAAATTGAGGTTCAGTTTGGATTTGTTATTCGTACTTTGCAATCTGAAATGCTATGCAATATGTTAAAGGTGCTATTTCCGATTTCTGTGATAGTCATGGTATTCTCCATCAAACTTCATGTTCTGATACTCCTCAACAAAATGGAGTTGCAGAACGAAAAAATAGGCATTTACTTGAAATAGCTCATACTTTAATGATCCATATGCATGTTCCGAAAGAATTTTGGGGGGATGCTGTTGACTTTTAACTACTTGCTATTTAATTAATCGTATGCCATCTTCAGTTCTTAAAGGGAAGTCTCCTTATTTACTTATCAAAAAAAAAAAAAGGAAGTCTCCTTATTCTATTCTTTATCCTGATCGTCCTTTATTTGCGTTGCCTCCTCGTGTTTTTCGTTGTGTTTGCTTTGCTCAAGTATTAAATCCTAGAATTTATAAATTGTCTCCTCGTGCAATAAAATGTGAATTTTTTGGATACTATCGAACTCAAAAAGGGTATAAATGTTGGGACCCTAGCACTCGTCGTTATGGTGTGTGTATGGATGTGACCTTCTTTGAAGCCACTCCTTTCTTTTCTTCATGTGGTCAGTTTCTAGATACTGATATTTTGCTTCCCTTGCCTATTGTTCCCAATGACTCTGTACATCACTTGGGCCTCACACGCATCCACTTCGAGTATATAGTCAATGACCAAAGAAAGCACAACACCAGTCGTGTACTCCTGTTGAAGATCCTTCTCATGATGATCTTCCTATTGCCTTGCGCAAAGGAATTCTTGCACTCATCATCCGGTTGAACAGGTTATTTCCTTTGCTTATTTATCTTTTCAGTCATTTGTTTGTGCTTTGTCTTCTGTTTCTGTTCCTCAATCATATCTTCAAGCCCTTCCTCTCCTGGTTGGAAACATGCTATGCTTGAAGAAATGGCAGCTCTTCAACATAATGATACATGGGTCTTAACTCATTTACCTCTTGGAAAGCAAACAGTTGGTTGTCGATGGCTGTATGCCATCAAGTACCATCCTGATGGTACAATTGAAAGGTTGAAGGCTCGCTTAGTAGCTAAAGGCTATACTCAGACATTTGGGGTAGACTATTTTGAAACATTTTTACCTGTTGCTCGTCTTAATTCTAACCGTATTCTATTGTCAGATGCAGCCATTCATAATTGGACTCTCTATCAGCTAGATATTAAAAATGCTTTCTTACATGGCGATCTTCAAGAAGAAGTTTATATGGAGCAACCACCTCAGTTTATTGCTCAAGGGGAGTCACATCTTGTGTGTCGATGAAAGAAAGCTATTTATGGGTTGAAGCAGTCTTCAAGGGCATGGTTTGACAAATTTAGTGCTGTTATGAGTAAATTTGGATTAAAAAGAACTACATCAGATCATTCTGTTTTTGTGAGAAATTGCCAAGGTGGTTCTATCATTCTAGCAGTTTATGTAGATGATATTGTCGTGACAGAAAGTGATAAAAATGGTATTGATGAATTGAAGCATTTTTTGAGCAAGCATTTTCATATGAAAGACTTGGGTCAATTGAGATATTTTTGGGGAATAGAAGTAGCAAACATCTCAGAAAGGCATTTGCATACCTCAAAGGGAGTATGTATGTGACTTATTAAGTGAGACTGGCATGTTAGGAGCAAAATCAATCGATGCTCCTATGGATTTAAGTATAAAGTTTACCTCAGATGAGGGAGAACTTCTTAATGATCCAGTAAGATATCAAAGACTTGTTGGGAAAGTGATATATGACTGTGACGTGACCTGACATAACATTTGCTATAGGAGTGGTAAGTCAATTCATGCAGCAACCTAGACAACCTCATTTGGATGCGGTATATCGAATTTTGAGATACTTGAAAGGAGCTCCTGGTAAAGGAGTTGTCTTTAAGTCTTCTAATAACATGGATATTGTTGGGTTTACAGATGCAGATTGGGCAGGAAGTAAAATGGACAGGAGGTCTATATCTGGATATTGCACATTTGTTGGAGGTAATTTGGTAACATGGAAAAGCAAGAAGCAAAATGTTGTGGCGAGATCTACTGCAGAGGCAGAGTATAGAACAATGGCTCATACAACTTGGGAAATGATGTGGGTAAAATCTCTTTTACAAGAGATGGGTTTTTGCAACGACAGGCCTATGAGAATGATTTGCGATAATCGGGCTGTCATGTACATTGCCAGCAATCCAGTGTTTCATAAGAGAACTAAACATGTCGAAGTAGATTGCCATTTTGTGAGACACTTGGTGATGAGTAAGAGGATAATTACTACTTATGTGAGATCCAAAGATCAATTGGGAGATGTATTTACTAAGGCCTTGGGAAAATCTCAATTTTCAGAATTATGTAACAAGTTGGGCATGGTAGATATCTATGCTCCAGCTTGAGGGGGAGTGTTGAGTAATAGTGTAATTAATGATAGAGTTGGGGTTATATTGTAAATAAGCTACACTTGTAAGTGTGTATATTAATATATATCAGATTTTAGGGTTCTCTGTAATCTAAAGAGAACACCACCAAACATCTCGTTTCTCTCTCTCTCTCTCTCTCTCTCTCTCTCTCTCTCTCTCTCTCTCTCTTATCTCTCAACAGTATACTCAATCATAGAGCTTCCCTTCAAACCTCTAATCTACCTCTGCTCTAGTTTTATCAATTAAATTTATATCATCCACAAATATCACAAACCATATGCAAAAAAAGATATGGGCTTAATGTTGATCCTTGATGTAAACCTATAATATTTGAAAATTTACTTGTTTCCTCCATAATTGTTCTTAGTATGGTCACAGTTACATACATGTCCTTTTTCATATCATTATATATTAGTGACAACACAGGAGCCTCAGATGTTCATTGGGATCGTTCCAGATTGCATGCTTATAGAATCCATAGAGAATGTAGCATGCGGGTTACACAGGAGCCTCAGAGGTTCATCGGGATCGTTCCAGATAGCATGCTTGTAGAATCCATAGAGAATGTAGCGTGCGGGATGTCTGGGTGTTTTGTTGTGTTGCTCTTTGCCTCCTTGGTCTGGTACTATGCCTTGTTAAGAGGAAAAAAGGAAGAGAAGTGGAAAATGAGAAGAAAGAAACAAATGGAAAAGAACCTGAGTATTCGATCATGGGTCGAGGTATTGTTAAATATTTGGGCTGATGCTATGATGCCTTCAAAAACGCAATGATTCCCAGTACAATATTATAAATACTACTTGAACACCCTTAATTAGCATTATAATGTAACTTCATTGTATATGCTGATGGAAGTTGTTAACCGTCGTTCCCTTTCTCTTCCCATCCTCTCTCTAAACTCTCACTTCCTTTTCCTTAGTCCTCACTCACTTAAAATGATCACATGAATGCACAGGCACCACTTCTTAGTAGGCATGTCCTGTTCAACTGAACACACCATAATAACTAGTCATAGAACCAAACCCCCATGTCTTCGGCACACACAATAGAAGAAATTGCCAACAAGTAAATTTGCAGTTACACAACTCACAAAACCACAAAGCAGACAAGGCCAAAACTAAATTACATTATAGCACTGTAAGGCACTCAACTTACCATCTGATTTTGAAGAATATTATCCATATAAGCATCCACAACCTTCAAGAACTCATCAAGGCTATTGTATTGAGAAGCGACCTGAAATTGTAATTTTTTTTCATTGGTGAAATTGTAGAAATTATTAAAAAATATGAGGAATTTTCAGTAAGTGGCATTGAATTAAAATGTTGGAACATTTACACAAAACAAAGACAAGTGCTAAGCTTCCCTAATAAATGAAGTGTGAACATCACATGAAGAAATTACAATAAAATAGTCATTATATTCACCAATTTTTCATACAAATCACAAATCATTCTGTTAATACCATTTGTACATGCAACGAACGAAAGAGAGTGCAAGCATTTACTAATGAAGGCAAATCAAGTATATGTACAGTGGCTGCGAGTTTAGTACCCTATATACATAATTATGATAGACAGACAAGTTGATATTCTCTAAGACACTAACACCATCAGTGCCCCAAAATAAAAATAAAAAAATACAAAAATAAATCTCTGTACTTTTAATGGTTATTAACAAGTGTATGGGAGATCAAGTAGCAAGTGACTAGCAAGACTTGCAGTTGCAAATTAATACTAAAGATTTGACATGTTGGTTTAAGAAGGGGAAAAAAGAAGCAGCATAACATTTTACAAAACCAGTAAAGATGACCCCTACACTTTGCCCAAGGCACGGCATTAGGAGGACAAGTGAAAACTCATTGTAGTGCGATGGAAAAGATGACTGTTATAAACTAAACTAAACACTCCTTATCCTCAAATTGAACTAAAGAAATGATCTCATGAAAAATAAGAGCAAGATAGCTAGAAGTTTCACAAAGAACATGGAAAAGAAACACAAGCACACCGTACAGATTAGGAATAGGATCTATGGCTATGCATGGAAAGAATAAGGATCCCATTACATCAACCAACAAAAGATACATGCAACAGAAATAAACTACTCAAATTTGGTTCAAAAAGCTAACAATAGATCAAAATACTTAATACCTGAATAACTTTATTAACTACTGCATGGACTATGTCCATTTGAGATCTCTGTTCAGACAGCCTAAATCCTAGCAACCTGTAATTTAAACACTGCATATCAAAAAGTTAAACAGCTTAGATGGGAGTAGTGGTCGGTAGAACACAGTCGACAAAGCAAGCACATGCTCTAGAGGTACGGAAGTGATACAGCATCAGGGTCTTATGAGAAGTACCTGCTCAAATGAATAATCATTGCTGCATTCAATGAGTTGAAGAATCACCATGGCATTAGAATTGACTAATCCAGTGGGCAGTTCCTTGAGCAGATGATGAAGAAAAACTGAGGTACATGGGAATTTCCCATACAACTCTGTCTGATTCCTCCCCAATCCAAGCTCTTTTAGTACATCTTCAATTTCCATCTTTCAATGGAAATAAAATATTATTAAATCCATACAAACGAGGTACAAATAATTTATTAGCACCCACTATCCATATGAGATAACTTCATTTTTGTTATTTTTATTCACTTGAATGAAATAACTTAAAAGAAGTTATTAACTTAGATGCAACAACCTAAAAATTGGCTGCTAAATAAAAACATGCATCATCCATTTTCCTTAGAAACCCTATTTTTACTGCATATCATAAGGAAACACAGAAAAGGACAAGTCACTCCACAGTGGAATGAGCTTCACTCATGTGGAAACCTGCATTAAGAAAGCCTGTCCTGGAACCCCTTTGTGTTCCTCATCTGGAGAACAAAATTTTTGCCACTAAAAAAGCAAAAGGAAATCCATTTCAACTAATTTTTTTCCTGGCTTCGTAAGCATCTCTCCGTTTTGCGTTATCTATCAAGGGCATGACCATTCCCGTGGCAAACAAGATAACTCAGACACCTCGTTCTATAATTTAATAGAGCTACATAAGTCAACATCTTGACCATCAAAAGCTGTCATTGGGAATCAGGCAGGGGTGACACACCAACTCCACAAGAGATGCGCCATGCCAAGGGTTTGATGATATTCTTGTGAACTCTACAATAATGTTATTCATGACATTTGTATTATGAATTCCATGAGATTCCTTATTATTATGAAAATATTCATTTAAAGGAGGATGGGATGCATGCTTGGATTGGGTAGATTGATTGGTTGGATTGAATATGTTGTTGGTTGGAATGATTGAACAATACTTGTGTTATATTCATTCAATCACGTATGAGTAAGGAATAAGCTTAACTGTATAACATAATTATGTATGAGTTGATTGAGTAAAGAGCTTCCCATTAGCCAAATCAACCCACACACCGAGCGTTTGAGAAAAGTGTTAGCGTATATGATATCCACGATTTATGGAATGACTCACCATAATAGCAGAGATTTGACTAAGCATATGTTAGCATATATGATGGCCACAATTTATGGAATGACTTACCATATTAGTAGAGATTTGATTATGCTATAGAATATACTCTGATTTGATTTAGATTTGATTTAGTTTCTTTCTTGTAATATGAGCATGTGCTCTTTTTATCTATAAATACTAGAGCTGTGAATGAGTGATTCATCTCAATTAAGCCTTTACACAATTCTCACTTTCTTCTTTTTATATTTCTACTTGGTATCAGAGACAACAGGTACAAGCTTCTACTCCCACGATCGACTGCCCTGTTCCTTCGGCACCAGCTCCGTCTTCTCAAGCTATTGTTTCGCTTGATGATCGCCCCATTGCTCTTCGAAAGGGTAAAAGTTCTTGTACAGACCCTATTTCTAATTTTGTTTCTAATTATGCTCTCTCACCCTCCTATCAGAGTTTTCTTGTCTCCGTTGCCTCGGTTCCTCTTCCTTCTAGTGTTACAGATGCATTTGCACAACCTCAACGACGCGATGCTATAATAGAAGAACTACAAGCACTTGAGAAAAATCGGACTTGGGACATGGTTCCGCTTCCTACTGGATGAAAGGCTATGGGTTGTTGTTGGGTGTTTACAGTTAAGTATAATCCAGATGGGTCAGTTGCTCGTTACAAGGCCCGGTTGGTTGCCAAGGGTTATGCTCAGACTTATGGCATAGATTATCAGGAGACTTTCGCCCCTGTTGCCAAGATGAACACCATCTGTGTATTATTTTCCGTTGCTGCGATTCGATCTTGGCCTCTATTTCCATTAGATATCAAGAATGCCTTTCTCAATGGTGATTTGCAGGAGGAGGTGTACATGGTTCCTCCTCCGGGCTTTCGTTCTCCTGCTCATTCTGGTATGTTATGTCATCTTCGTCGTTCTTTGTATGGCCTCAAGCAGTCTCCTCGAGCTGGGTTTGATCGCTTTGGCACTACCATGCTCAACTTTGGTTTCCATCAAAGTGCAACTGATCATACCTTGTTTTTACGTCATTCGGGCGGTAAGACAGTTGCTCTCATTGTGTATGTCAATGATATTGTTCTTACCGGCGATGATACTACTGGATTGCTAAGGTTAAGAGCTATCTTGGCCGTCAGTTTGAGATTAAGGATCTTGGTCCCCTACGGCACTTCTTGGGCATTGAGGTGTGTTCAAAATCATATGAGAGAAAGAGAGAGATTGTATCTTGTATATTCAACATAACAGACCTAATAAGCCTATGCAGGCTTATATAATGATTACAAGTCTTACTTAATAACACAAGGGCCCTATCAACTTTCTGTAATTACATACTGACCCAACACTTATATATATATATAACATTCTAACACTCCCCCTCAAGCTGGAGAGTATATATCAAATAATCCCAGCTTGGAACAGATAGTTCTTAACCGGTTATGACCCAATGCTCTGATAAACATATCAGCTAATTGATCTTCAGATTTCACAAATGGAGTAGAGATACTCCCACTTAATAGTTTTTCTCGAATGAAGTGACAATCAACTTCAATAGGTTTTGTCCTCTCATAAAACACAGGATTTGATGCAATGTGAACTGCTGCTTGATTATCACAGAACAATGGAGTAGGAGCTTCAATTGTCAACCCAAGTTCTTTTAGAAAATGTTGTATCCATGTCAACTCACAAGTGGTATGAGCCATTGCCCTATATTCAGCTTCAGCACTAGATCGAGCTACCACCGTTTGCTTTTTACTTCGCCATGTAACGAGATTTCCTCCTACAAATGTGCAGTATCCTGTAGTAGATCTCTTATCTGAAGGAGAACCAGCCCAGTCAGCATCTGTAAAACCTTCCACCCTGAGATGACCATTTGATTTATATAGTAACCCTAAACCTGGAGCTTGCTTGAGATATCGGATAATCCGAAGAACAGCAATCCAATGTGGCATTCTAGGGACTCCCATGAACTGACTTACAACACTAACTGCATATCAAATGTCAGGTCGAGTGATAGTGAGATAAATTAATTTCCCAACAAGGCGACGAAATCTGCCCGGGTCATTAAATAGATCACCCTCATCAGACACAAGTTTTGTATTTGAATCCATAGGAGCATCAACCGGACGACCACCCAACATACCTATTTCTTCTAATAAGTCCAACACATATTTCCGTTGGGATAAACTTATACCCTTCTTGGATCTAGCAACTTCAATACCCAAGAAATACCTAAGTTTACCCAAGTCTTTAGTGTGGAATCGATATTGCAGAAACAACTTCAACTTAGCAATGCCTTTAGAATCATCACCTGTGATCACAATATCATCTACATACACCACAAGAAATATGAAGCCAGCTTTAGTGCGCTGGTGAAACACCGAATGGTCGGTCTGATATGTGTTGAGACCAAATTTTAATGCCACCTCAGAGAATTTCCCAAACCAAGCCCGTGGAGATTGTTTCAATCCATACAGGGCCTTTTTAAGGCGACAAACAGTGTGAAGATACTCCCCTTGAGCAACAAACCCAGGTGGTTACTCCATATAAACCTCTTCTGCTAAGTCACCATGTAAAAAAGCATTTTTAACGTCTAACTGAAACAGAGGCCAATGTCGATTAGCAGCAAGAGAAATCAAAACACGAATAGAAGAAATCTTAGCAACGGGGGCAAATGTCTCAACATAGTCAATACCATAAGTCTGGGTATAACCTTTGGCAACAAGACGTGCTTTTAAACGCTCAACAGACCCATCTAGAAGATACTTCACAGTATATACCCAGCGACAACCAACACGTTTAGCACCCGGAGGTAATGGAACAAGATTCCAAGTGCCATTCTTATGCAAAGCATCCATTTCATCTTGCATTGCTTTCCTCCAGCCCGAATCAGACAAAGCATCCTCCACAGTCTTAGGAACAAATGTAGTAGACAACTTAGAGGAAAAACATGAGAAAGATGGCGATAAGGAATTATAAGAGACATACTGAGCAATGGGATGTTTAGTAACACACGAGCGAGGAGCTTTACAAAGTGCAATAGGCAAGGAGTCAAACACAGTGGAAGGTGTAGGATCCAAAGACTCTGAAGACGATGGAGGAGGCACGACAGCAAATGGCTTTGGTCTTCGAGTGTACACCTGTAACGGGGCAGGCGAAGGAACCAGAGATCGAGGTTGAAGAGAAAGTGAGGGAAGAGGAACTGCAGAAAGAGATGACTCAAGAGTGATATCAAGAAGTGAATCAGTATCTGAAAAATATGGGATGGATTCACAAAATGTGACATCCGCGCTAATAAAGTACCATTGAGAAACAGGACTATAGCAGCGATAACCTTTATGAGAACGAGAGTAGCCAAGAAATACACACTTTGTGGCACGTGGGTCTAGTTTGTCAAAACCAGGACCAAGATTTTGGACATAATATACACATCCAAAAACCCTAGGAGGAAGAGAAAACAAAAGAGAATCAGGAAATAAAATAGAATGTGGAGATTTGCCATCTAATACAGATGACGACATACTGTTAATAAGATGACAGGCAGTAAGAACAGCATCAACCCAAAACCGTTTAGGCATACGCATATGAAACAAAAGAGCACGAGTTACTTCTAAGAGATGTCGATTCTTACGTTCTGCAACCTGAAACCTGAGCGGATGAAACGGGCCGGATCTGGTCAAACGGGCCGGATCTGGTCAAACGGGCCGGATCTAAGCCATCCCAGGTTTAGTAAACCAGGGTTGGAATAGCTATATCCGTGTAGCCAAACATGGGTCTTCTTCTTCACACCTTCACAGACGCCAGTGAACAACGCAGCGGAGATGACGGCAACCCACTCACAATCAACGGCCGAATCAATAAGCAGCTATCGCAAACTGAGACTGTAGATGTCGGCGAATCAAAAAGATGAACCCTCACCTCTGCAAATCGAGACTATTGATGTCGGCGAGATCGCTGAAGAACAAAGAGGAGCTGCTGGTGACGACGAACAAGGCAAATACGACGACGACCAAGCTGACGACGACGGTGAACAAGCTGAAGACGACGATCGAGGTTGTAGATCTGACGACGACAGTGAACGATCTTCAAATCTGACGACAAACAAGGAACTTCCAAGACCACCAACACCACAATTGCAATGCCGATCTCATACAATAACAACCCAATTAAAGACTCTCACACCCATGATCGCAGCGCTCTGATACCATGTTCATAATCATATGAGAGAGAGAGAGAGAGAGAGAGATTGTATCTTGTATATTCAACATAATAGACCTAATAAGTCTATGCAGGCTTATATAATGATTACAAGTCTTACTTAATAACACAAGGGCCCTATCAACTTTCTGTAATTACATAATGACCCAACACTTATATATATATAACATTCTAACAAGGTGGCTCGCTCCAAGGATGGCATTTTCATCTCTTAACGCAAGAATGTTCTTGACTTGCTTTTTGTTTCTGGTTAGCTTAGCGCTCATCCTGCTGATACTCCGATTGAGCAGAATCATCGGTTGGTTGATTCTGAGGGTGAGTCATTGTCAGATGTTGGTTACTGTCGACTTGTGGGGACGCTCATCTATTTATCCATAACTCGACCTGACATTGCTTATCCCGTGAGTGTCGTAAGTCAATTCATGCACTCTCCTCGTGCCGCTCACCTTGATGCAGCTATTCGAATCCTTCGCTACTTAAAAGGGTTTCCAAGCCGTGGTATTTTGTTTGCCAATCATGGTCACGTGTTGAGGCTTGGACAAATGTTGATTATGCAGGATCAATTTCAAATAGGAGGTCAACTTCGGGTTATTGAACCACTATTGGTGGTAACTTGGTTACTTGGCGCAATAAGAAGCAAAATGTTGTCTCTCGATCTAGTGTAGAGGTAGAGTATAAGGCTATGGCTCTTGGGGTATGTGAGTTGCTATGGCCGAAAACCTTAATGATAGACATGTGCCTTCCAGTGTTTCTTCCATTCTCACTCTACTGCAACAAGTCTACCATAGCATAGCTGCAAATCCCGTTCGGCATGACAGGACTAAGCATATAGAGGTGGACTGTCACTTCATTCGAGAGAAGATCATCTCTGGTCAAAATTGCACTCCATTTGTCACAAGCTCTCAGCAACTTGCAGACATTCTTACAAAGGGCATCAACAAGATTGTGTTTGAGAATGCATTATCCAAGTTAAGCGTTTCAGATATCCATGCACCAACTTGAGGGGGAGTGTTAGCATATATGATATCCATGATTTATAGAATGACTTACCAGAATAGCAAAGATTTGACTATGCATATGTTAGCATATATGATAACCACGATTTATGGAATAACTTACCATATTAGCAGAGATTTGATTATGATATAGAATATGCTCTGATTTGATTTAGTTTCCTTTCTTGTAATATGAGCATGTGCTCTTTTTATCTATAAATACTAGAGCTATGAATGAGTGATTCATCTCATTCAAGCCTTTACACAATTCTCTCCTTCTTCTTTTTATATTTCTACTAAAAGTCCAAAAACTCCCTCCCTCTTGGGTCACTGTTTGGGAAAGAGAGTTTACTTTTCTGTCATTATTCTTGATTGTGTTTGTCGCAACAGAGACTTTAGGCCATTAATGTACCTAGAATGTGGTCCTAAGCAGTAAGAACATAATTGGAAATGTACAGCCACACCATGAGCTAACAGTAGTGTTCCAACCACATTGAGGAACTCTACTAGTGTCAGTCCAATGATTGACACACATTCTTGCTATGATGTTTTCTATGACACTCAGTTTTTGGATGTTCTAACATGTAAATGCTCTCCAAATATTAATGCAGCATAAAAAAAATTATCACTAGATGAATTAGCTGCCTATATTTCCACCATCTACTTCTTCTGTACTTCTCTTATACATGACCAGTTCTAGGCAAGGTATAACACGAGACACAATTCCGTCATTAAAAAAAAAATAAAGTATAAGCAAGAAGTATAATTACCACATATTGTGCCATCACCAACCTGATATGAATTCTTAAAAATGCATTTCATAACGTACTCAATGGTTGGTTCAATCAAACTGACAAGTGCCTTTCTATTTTCTGAAAAATCCCCATGTGTGATTTCTTTTGCAGATATAATTCGTGTCAATATGATTTTCACGTCATAAATGCAAGCAATCAGATAACCTGTCACAGAACAGTCAAACAGAACACAAATCAATTTCCAATACAAAGAATTAAAATGTCTAACTTACAGCCAATCAGAAACAATTGCTAATGGACTACACTGGATATGGTCAGTATGGCCCCGGCCCAAAAAAGGTAAATACAAGGTCCAGGTCTTGCAGAGTACGACATATATAAATAAATAAAGAGGAAGAAAAATCCGGGGGTTGTACAGGTCTATGATCAACTTCAAAGCTCTTAGTCAACTAGATTTCTTTCAGGTGCTGGCCAAAGTGGGAAATTTTATATTCGCAAAAGGAGTCTCGGAATATGCTAAATAAGAAACAATAACTACTGTAAGAACAATTATCATCATGAACAGCGTATAAGTTCTTTCCATCACCCCCACTGCCCAGTTTTGTGAACTATTTATTAGATGTGCCTATTTAATTTGTATACTTCCAAGGGCAAATTAGTCTTCTCACTGTAATTGTAATTAATACACACACACACAAGTGAGATGGGAAAAGAACATATGTAATGGACATGTGTTGTTTAAAGCTAATTTGATGGCTTAATACAAAAACTTTTGACAATGGATACACTGGTGTGGTATTAGACATATTAGTTGAATTGAACAGTGTGTAGGAGTAAATTGTTGACATATATAGATAATTAGTTGTATTGATGACTATATAATTGTTATCATCTATAGATAATTAGCTGTACATGTGCTGATTAGATGCTGATTAGCATAGTTATAGGAGCTGATTTTTACTCTTTAATTTCTTTCCTTCTTTATAATTATTTGTGTACCATTTAAATCCTCCACAGGGAGAAGAATAAACACGGAGAATTATTCCTATTCCTTTATCTCTGGAAAAATCTTCATGTTATCATAGCCATCTAGAGGAATTTTAAAACCTTATTTTTCTTTTAGGGTTTTCAGCAAATACATCTTATTACCCAAACACCAGTTTTTTCTATCACCCCAAAACATACCGACAGCCCTCCCCACCACCACACCACCACAGACCAGGTATCCTTATTTGACTTCATGGCAGACAAGATTGAAACCTCTGTGACTTCTGAGATTGATTCTCAGACTCTAATGATTCCTCCAACTGCATCTAACTCGCATCAAGATCTGATGAATGTCCAGTTGATGTAAACTTGATGGGACCAATTATTTGGCTTAGTTACACTTTGTGAAGCTGTATATTACCGGCAAAGGCCGGTTGGGGTATTTGACTAGGGAAAAACCCCGACCTGCGATCAATGACCCAACTTTCACGACTTGGGTTGCAGAAGATGCATGCTCTTGGCTCCTTCAAACTATGACCTCTGATCTTAGTCTTGGGTATATGCGGCTCAAGTCCGCTAATGAAATTTGAGATGCAGTATCTCAGACTTATTTTGTGGGAGGAAATGAGGCATAGATTTATGAGTTGAAGCGTAATATTCAGGCTACTACTCAACAGGGAAGGACATTGGTGGCATATTACAATGCCCTCCAAGCTTTGTGGCAAGAACTCGACTATTATCAACCTTGCGAAATGGAATGCGCTGTTGATACCACTCTGTTGAATAAGCGGATTGAAAAAGAATGCGTTTTTGAGTTTCTTGCTGGTCTTAACCTAGATCTAGACCAAATAAGGAATCAGGTGCTTGGAAAATATTCGTTTCCTTCTTTACGTGAGGCCTATGCTTATGTGCGTACCCAAGCCCTCCGACGATCTGCTATGCTCGTGCCAACTTCTCCAGAAGGACCTGCTTTGGTTTCTACCACAAGTCAATCACCTCGTGTATCATTAGCACATCAGCCCGATCCTCTACCAACTGCACCATCTGGTAATGTTGCTAAAACTACTAAATCTGATGACAAAGATTGTTTGGTTTGTGATTATTATAACCAAACTAGATATATGAGAGAACAATACTTTAAACTCAATGGTTATCCGCCTTGGTGGCCGGGAAAAAAGGGTGACAAAGGTGAAGGCAGTAAGGGCGGAAAAGGGAGTCGTTCTAGCTTCCAGGCTCATTATACCTCTTCTAGTAATCAGAACAGTGACCAATCTGCTACTAAGTTCTCTTCTGGCCAGATGGAACAAATGATTCAGGAGCGTGCTTGTTTGCTCTCTACTAAAGGGTCCAGTTCTTTAGCCACATCCTCAGGTTACCTTGGTCATTGTTTTAGTGTATCCGGTAAGTCTTCCTCAGAATCTTGGTTTATAGATACAGGGGCAACTGGTCACATGACCTCTACATCTCATATTTTTTTCTCATGTTATTCCTCACCTACTAAAACTTGTGTCACAACTGCTGATGGTTCCCCTACCCCTGTGATTGGTGAAGGTTCAGTCACTCTTTCTAATTCTTTGTACCTTTCCAATGTTCTTTGTGTCCCTAGATTATCCACTAATCTGCTGTCTGTCAGTCAACTTACTAAAACCTTAAACTGGTCTGTCACGTTTTTTGACACTCACTATATATTTCAGGATCTTCAGACGGGAGCGAGGATTGGTCATGCTAGTGAACAAGGTGGCCTCTATCTCTTGGATGTACCAGCTGCTTCAACCTCAGTTCATGCTGTGCGGTTCACTAATGGTTCATTCCGTGACATTTGGTTATGGCACAAGCGTTTAGGACATCCGTCATTTTATTATTTAAAAAATTGTTTCCTTCTTTATTTTCTGCTATTGATGTTTCTCAATTTCAATGTGAAACTTGTGAACTTGCTAAACATCATTGAGTACCTTTTCCATTAAGTATTAATAAAAGTGCATTTCCTTTTGCTCTTGTTCATAGTGCTGTTTGGGGCCCTTCTCATGTGACTAATCTCTGTCGGGTGCTAAATGGTTTGTCACATTCATTGATGACTACTCCCAAGTTACTTGGGTTTATCTGATGAAGGAAAAAAGTGAAGTTTTCACTATCTTTAAGTCCTTTCATCAAATGATCCATAAACAGTACAATTCAAAGATAAAAGTCTTCCGCTCTGATAATGGGGGTGAGTACATTTATTCTGGTCTCCAATCCTATTTTTCTGACCATGGCATTATCCATCAAACTTCTTGCACCGATACCCCTCAACAGAATGGAGTAGCTGAATGGAAAAATCGTCATCTTCTCGAAGTATCCCATTCTCTGCTTCCATCCATGACAATACCAAAGTCATATTGGGGGGAGGATATCCTCACAGCAGCCTATTTGATCAATCTGATGCCTTCCAGAATTCTTCAATACCAAACTCCACTTCAGGTCTTCACTACTTCTTGCTCGCCATCTACTCTTAATCATCTTTCTCCTCGAGTCTCTAGTTGTATAAGCTTTGTACATGTCCACCACAGTGGTAAGCTTGACCCTCATTCCCTCAAATGCATTTTTCTCGGTTATTCTGCTACTCAGAAGGGTTACAAGTGTTATCACCCTCCATCAAAAAAAAAAAATTCTGTCTCTATGGATGTTACTTTTCATGAGGAACAAGCCATTTTTTCTAGTCTTGCTTCTACGACTTCTCTTCAGGGGGAGACCTTGAGTAGTAAAGAAAAGTCTTATATTGTGCCTATGTTTGAATTAGAGAGTGGAAATGAAACAAATGAAAAAAATGGAAAAAAAGAAAAAAATGGAAAAAAAATTTTAAAAATGAAAAAGCAGAAGGCAATTCTTTGACTCTCCCTCCAAAAGGTCGTCATATGTCTACATTTGAGCTGGTATATCTAAGAAGAGAAAAGGTACCTCTCGAGAAAAATGATCAGTCTACCCCGATAGGTAATCCTGAGGTAGAGTCTGTTAAATCACCATTCTCTTTTGTTGATAATAGTTCTATAGATCCTAATGCTTCAGATGATTCTAATGTTGTTAATGACTTAGAATTCCCTATTGCCTTGAGAAAATCACATCGTACTTGTCAATCAAAATATAAATATCCTATTTCAAGTTTTATGTCTTCTCATCGTCTCTCACCATCCTTTAAGGCTTTTGCCCATCAGTTGTCTTCTATATCTATTCCTAAAAAATTACAGGATGCACTTGATAATCCAAGGTGGAAAGAGGCAATGGTTGAAGAATTGAGAGCTCTCTGTAAAAACTCTACGTGGGAGTTAGTGGGGTTGCCGAAAGGGAAGAAAATTGTTGGCTGCAAATGGGTGTTTACCATAAAGCATAAGGCAAATGGGTCGATTGACCGATACAAGGCAAGATTGGTGGCAAAGGGCTATACTCAGACATATGGCATTGACTATCAAGAGACGTTTGCTCCAACCTTACTAAGACAGTCTATATGACTCAACCGCCTGGGTTTGAGTCTAAGGGGAGTGTGTGTGTCAGCTCAAGAAGTCTATCTATGGCCTCAAACAGTCCCCTCATGGTTTGATAAGTTTAGTAAAGCAGTGGTAGCTCATGGTATGACTAGAAGTCAGGCTGACCACTCTCTCTTTTTTAAGAAAACAAAACGTGGTATTGTGATTCTTGTGGTGTATGTAGATGATATCGTTATCACCAGCAATGACAAAGATGGGATACAAGTTCTAATCCATCACTTGAGTTCTAGCTTCCTTGCTAAGGATTTGGGCAAACTTCGGTATTTTCTAAGAATTGAGGTGGCTCGGTCGAAGCAAAGCATTAGTCTTTCTCAACGGAAGTATACTCTTGATCTCTAACAGGATACTGGATATCTTGGTTCGAAACCTGTAGCTACACCCATGGAAACTAATGTAAAACTTAAGGTGGATAATGGTGACCCACTCGAAGATCCAGAGATGTATCGAAGACTTGTAGGTAAACTTATTTACCTCACAATCACTCGTCCAGACATCTCTTATGCATTCAGTGTTGTAAGCCAGTTCATGACCAGTCCTCGGGTACCTCACATGGAGGCAGTTGTATGCAACTTGAAGTACCTCAAGGGTGCTCTGGGACGTGGTCTACTTTATCGATCTTCTGGAATAAGTCTAAGATACTGCATCCTAAATATCTTTAGCGGACTTAAGCTACATATACCCAAGACTAAGATCAGAGGTCATAGTTTAGAGGAGCCAAGAGCAGAGCATTGCATCTTCTGCAACCCAAGTCGTGAAAGTTGGGTCATTGATCGCAGGTCAAAGTCTTTCCCCAGTCAAATACCCCAACCGGCCTTTGCCGGTAATATACAGCTTCACAAAGTGTGACCAAGCCAGATAATTGGTGTCATCAAGTTTATGAGGCATCAATTGGACATTCATCAGATCCTGATGCGGATTAGATGCGGTTGGAGGAATCATTAGAGTCTGAGAATCACTCTCAGAAGTCACAGAGGTTTCAATCTTGTCTGCCATGAAGTCAAATAAGGATACCTGGTCTGTGGTGGTGGAGGGTGATAGAAAAAAACTAGTGTTTGGGTAATAAGATGTATTTACAGAAAACCCTAAAAGAAAAATAGGATTTTAAAATTCCTTTCTAGATGGCTCTGATACCATAAAGATATTTCTAGAGATAAAGGAATAGGAATAATTCTCCGTGTTTATTCTTCTCCTTGTGGTGAATTTAAATAGTAAACAAATTTACAAAGAAGGAAAGAAATTAAAGACTAAAAATCAGCTCCTATAACTATGCCAATCAGCACCTAATCAGCACATGTACAGCTAATTATCTATATATGTTAACAATTATATAGTCAACAATACAGCTAATTATCTATATATGTCAACATATATAACATGTTTCATAATGTCATGATCATTCATATTTTATTATTTATTCCCTTCCCTGCATGTGTGCCTACTTGTTAAGTAATTTAATTAATAATGAATTTGTTTAGCATTCTTCTACTGTGCTTTGCTCATGCCAACATTTTTGCAGATGAAGGAGAGAACACCAGAGTCACAATTAGTTCCTTGAAGTTTTGTTAATCGCATTTTGATTAGCTTGGAAGTCTTTGATTCGTTAGTTGCAATTGGCTATTTTTGTTTCTTTTTATCTTGAGATGATGGGATGAACCTATATATGAGTTACTTGATTTGATATCATGTAATAGTTTAATTCTTATTTGGGATCGTGGAATATTTAAATTTATTATTTTCGAATTAATATATGTTAGATCAATTACTCAAGTTATTTCTAGACTATTCAGGCCTTAGCTTGTGACTTTATTTGGACTGCGTGATTTATTTTCTAGGTTTTCAGATTATTTTATTCTTCTTCATCAGTTTTGTATCTTAACTTGTGGTTGCAGTGATTAAAAGAAGAAAAAATAGCAATGTTTTTTGTTTCCTTGTCAATGCAAGGATCACATCACACACCAATCTACAGGGTAGTTGTTTTAATATTGATTCAACTATTGGTTTCAATTTTTATGTTTTTTTAGCTGAATTTATATGTGCATTACAATTAAGTGGCATGTGCAAATTGTCGTGACTTGGGTCTTAGTATTTTACGCGCTAATCTCATCGACCACAGATCATCACTGGACATTAAAAAATTAGGAATTGGATCTTATGAAGAAAAAAAAATGAAAAGAAATAAAAAGGAAATAGACATGGATATTTAATATAATAAATAAATGGTAAATGGACTGCCACTTGAGACTAATTGTCTCAAGCCAGGTTTTGGGATCAGAGCATGACAATAAAACAGATCATATTTAGCATGCATACAAGACAATTTATTTCCCAATATTAACTGGAGCATGCTTTCCCACACACTTGTGTATGCATATATATATGGTTGTGATATGTATAAAAAGTTGTACCTATATCACACACAGGTAATTTCTGTGCACGGTAGGCCATGTATAGCCGGCAATAGGAAGAAGCCAAAGGATCTGCAATCCCTCTCATCATCTTAACTAAGCGCTGGAGGTTGTCCACAGGACGGTCAAGCAGGAATCGCCAGCAAGGCAATATTGCCAACTCTAAATAACTGAAGTACAATACGGAATAAACCACCAGTAAAAGGTCAATCTTTAGGAAAGATCATTTTTAGTCAGAATAAAATGCAAAGCAACAAATGAGAAAAAAATTCTTTTTGGGTTGACAACAGGATTTCATTTATTTCTAGCATTACTGATATAGATAAAAGACATATTTAATTAAAAATGGGAATAAAAAATGAAAGGGAAGCCACTTATCAAAAAAAAAAAGAAAAAATAAAAAATAAAAAATAATGAAAGGGAAGCTTAAAAAGGATAACAAGGTGTCTGGAAAAGAATAAAATAAAATAATCTTGTAAGAAGAGAGCAATCAAAATAAAGTTAGCAGCTCGTTAGAAAATAAAACAAGATCCACCATAAGTAGTGAATCTAGTTACAGACTTCATAGCCTTCATTTAAAGACAGGTAGTGGTCGGGGTGGGCATGGACAAGAAGCTTTGGGTGGGTACCCCAAGAGGGGTGTTTGAGGTTAAGTCCTTCCACAAATGTACGTTGGAGAGTCCTGGCCCTATGTTTCCTTGGAAAGCCATTTGGAGGACGAAAACTCCACTGAAGGTGGCATTCTTCTCATCGACTGTTGCTTTGGGAAGCATCCTTACTATTGATAACCTTAGAAAAAGAAGTCATATTGTGGTTAATGTTGACTTTAAGAGATAATCAAATCAAGAGTGAAGTATAAGAAGAAGAAGAAGAAGAAGAAGAAGAGAAGAAAGCGGATGAAAGAAGAAGAGAGAGAGATGGGGAAAGAGAGAAAGAATGAAACAATCATTTCATCCTTCCACCACATTCTATTTATAATAACAAGTTTCAAAAAATACACATATGCCCCAACATTATATAAGTAATAACAAATAAGCCCCTGACAACACTCCCCCTCAAGCTGGTGCAAAGATATCTATCATGCCCAGGTTGACTAACAGATTTTGCAAGCAAGTCTTGCTCACACCCTTAGTAAAAACATCATGTGTATTGACGTATGGAATACAAATCTGCCCAAGACGAATCTTTTCCTTGATTAAGCGTCGATCGACTTCAATGTGCTTTGTCCTATCATGTTGAACTGGATTGTGGCAATGCTAATAGCAGCATTGTTGTCACAATACAACTTCATTGACTCGCGAACAGGATAACCCAACTCACACAACATCGTACGTAGCCATAACAACTCAAAAACTCCATTTGCCATGGATCTGAACTCAGCCTCTACACCAAATCTAGCTACTACAGATTGTTTCTTGCTTCGTCAAAAAACAAGATTACCTCCAACAAATGTGCAATATCCTTAAGTAGATTGTCGATCTGTCACAAACCCTGCCCAATCAGCATCAGTATAGGCTTCAACACGCAAGTGGCCATGACTGTAAAATAATATCCCCTTACCAGGTAAACCCTTGAGGTAGCGAAGAACATGATGAGCTGCCTCAAGGTGAGGTGTACATAGAGCATGTATAAACTGACTAATCACACTAACAACGTAGGCAATATCCAGGCGCGTGAGAGATAAGTAAATCAGTCTCCCAACCAATCGCTGAAATCTTCCCACATCATCTAATGAATCTCCATCTACACCATTAAGCCTATGGTTCTGCTCAATGGGAATATCAATAGGTCTAGCTCCAAGAATGCTTGTTTCAGCCAACAAATCTAACACATACTTCCGTTGAGAAATGAACAGCCCTTTCTTCGATCTGCACACCTCGATGCCAAGAAAGTATCTCAATGATCCGAGGTCTTTAACCTCGAACTGTGTCCCTAAGAATGACTTCATTCGACGAATCTCTTCTGGATCATTTCCAGTGATAACAATATCATCAACATATACAATAAGGGCAGTGGTGCAGCCCTGATGCTTCTTGATGAAGAGAGTATGATCTATCTGACTCTGCGTGTACCCTACTCTTTTCACAACAGTGTTGAACCTCTCAAACCAAGCACGTGGCAACTGCTTTAACCCATACAACACTTTAGTTAGCTTGGACACTAAAGTCTGACCATTGGCGAGCTTAAACCCTGGTGGCATAGTCATAAACACCTCTTCCTCCAAGTCACCATGAAGGAAAGCATTCTTTACATCCAGCTAGCTAATGTAAAGGCCAATTCAAATTAGCTGCCAAAGAAAGAAGAACACGTATAGAGTTCATCTTGGCAACTGGAGCAAATGTTTCCAGATATTCAATTCCATAGGTCTAAGTGAAGCCCTTTGCAACCTATGTTACAGGGACTCGGGTACGAATGTCGGACACGGGTATGTATCCATGAGTCGGACGTGTCAAATCTCCAAACAGGACACACGGACACGGCTAAATATTCATTTTGTTAATTATTTTATTTTATTTTCTAGTGCAAAGTAATATTTTTTTTTTATAAGTAGAGTAAAGTAATGTTTTTATCTAATGTAATGTATAATATAGGCATTTAACTCATTTTAAAGTAATAATATAATGTAATTCAATTATTGGATATGCTTTTTAAGTACATGTCCAACCAAAAGTGTCGGACACATATCCCAAACCCATGTTCGAGGGATACGTGTCCGACACGGGTACTTCACTACTTTTGAAGAATCCATGTAACAGAGTTTGAAACTAACCGAGCTTTATATCTCTTAATTGTTCCGTATGCATGATAATTTATTGTGTAGACCAATTTGCAGCCTACTAGTTTCTTACCCTTAGGTAATCGAACAATATCCCAAGTACCATACTTCTCAAGGGCCTTCATTTCTTCAAGCATAGCTTTCTTCCATGGAGTTTGACTGAGAGCATCTGAAAAAATAGAAGGAACAAATACAGAGGAGATACACAAAGTGAAAGCACGATATGTTGGAGATAAGGCATCATAGGATAGAAACTGAGCTATGGGATGCTTTGCATAACTACGAACACCCTTGCGATAGGCAATAGGGACATCAAGATCAACAGGAATGCTATTGGGAAAAGAATCAGGAGTATCAATTTCAACTAAGGAATTACCTGGATCGAGGGAGACTTCTTGGTCCTGGGGTGAGTCAATAACTTGTTTTGCCCTCCTAGTGTAGACAATTGGCTGCTTTCCTGCTGCAAATCATTAGCGTTAGGAGGCCTAGGCACCTCAGTAAGAAGCTCACCCTGAATGGGAACAGGCAAAGGAAGGGTGCATTCCCTCTGAATGGACAACGGATTACCTGTAGAGAATCTCGAGTAGTGGAAAATAAAGGAACAGACTCAAAGAATGTAACATTCATGGAGACAAAGCAACGACGAGTGGTAGGGTTATAACACCGACACCCTTTCTGAGTGGCGGAGTATCCAAGAAAGGCACATCGGATTGCATTAGGGTCCATTTTGTCCTTGCGATGATGAATGTGAACATAATAAACACAACCAAACACTATCGGAGAGACAGTAAACAAGGCAGTGTCATGGCGTAAGACAGAGAAGGGGGATTGATAGCCAAGAACCTTAGAAGGCATGTGATTGATAAGGTATGTAGTTGTTAAGGTTGCATCAGCCCAATAACTTTTAGGTACTCCCATCCCAATTAGAAGAGAAGGGGTCACCTCCGTAATATGACGGTGTTTTCTTTTAGCTACACCGTTCTGTTGTGGTGTATTGACACAAGAGGTTTGATGGACAATCCCGTTATCAGCAAAAAAGGAGGCAAGACCACCATACATAAAATCTCCTTCATTATCAGATCGAATAAGTTTGAGGGGACAACCAAACTGAGTACATACCATCCTATGAAAGGTTTTAAAAATGGAATGAACTTCATCTTTGGATTTCATAAGATAAAGCCAAGTATATTGACTAAAGTCATAAACAAACACAATAAAGTAACGAAACAAAGTAACGAAGTAGTATATTGAGAACCCCACACATCAGAATGAACAAGCTGCAAAGGAGATGTATTTTAATTAATACCAGGAGAATAAGAAACACGACATTGTTTGGCAAGAACGTATGTTTCACAATTTAATTCAAAAGATTCAATAGAAGCAAACTAGGGAAGCACATGCTTCAAAACAAGACGAGGTAAATGACCTAGTCTATTATGCCATCGCATTAACAGATCTTTATTGACATTACTATTTCTAACAATAGATTGATTTGTAACATAATAAGAAGTTGGCCTCACGTTCAGCAAATACAAGCCATTGTTCTCTCATCCACTTCCAGTCGTCTTCCTAGTGTCCAAGTCCTGAAACACACAGTGAGATGGAAAAAAGGTTACACTACAATTCAAGCCTTTTGTAATGTAACTGACAGAAAGGAGGTTATTGGTAAACTTTGGGACATGAAGAACAGAGGATAAGGTAAGATTAGGAGAGGTAGAAACAATGCCCTTCCCCGCAATGGAGGTGAAGGTGCCATCAGCCACTCTAACCTTATACTTACCAGAACATAAACTGTACGAAGAAAAAATAGATACCATACCAGTCATGTGATTAATGGCTCCTGAATCAATGATCCAGGGCGGCCTACCAGATAATGTGGAAACTTGATGTGCCGAATAAGAGGTACCTGAGCTAAGTTAGAGGTGGAAACGAAGGAATGTTGTGCTAGTAGATGTCAGAGAGCATCAAGTTTAGCCCTGGACAAAGAACTATGTGGCCCTCAGGAGGCATTCCATGACCAATAGAAGCAATCTCACCCTCTGCAATATGTGTCGTAGATAACCCCCCAAATGGACCAGGCCTTGGCCTAGCATTCGCATTAGCAGGAGCTGGAGTAGGGCGACAATGTAGATTCCAACATGTTTCCCCAGCGTAGCGCGTATGCCCACAATGATCACACCTCAACTTGCTTTTGTCATCCTATTTCCCTCCTTTTGGAGGATTAGGCTTCTTCCATTGTTGTGTAGCAAGAGCAGACCTCTCAGACAATGGTACTTCTGGCTCAGGCTTAGTGTAAACAGGTGAAGACATAGCCTTCATTCTACTCTCCTCAGCTTGGATATACGAAAACACATCTCTAACAGAAGTAGGGGCTGGATACCTGCCTAACATTTG